GGAGTGAGGAGGTGTGCAGTGGCATGTCACCTAGGCCGCTGGGCAGCCAATTATTCATCGCATTTTTAATCAATGACCAAGTACGTATGTGATTATGGTGATTCTCACCCTCGGATGCACGGGCAAAGAAGAGGGGGGCAAACGAGACCTCTGGTGAAATGCGAGTCTACGAGGGCCCCATATATGCTACTGAAGAGAGCCTGGCACTGAATGGAGCGCAAATTACGGGGAGCGTTCTCCGGATATTGCATTGGGACGCGGGATATTGCGAGGCGGCGCACCAAAAAGGAGCGCGAAAATAGTGACTTGGAGCGAATTAAACGTGCATATTGGCTTCATTTTGCTGCCTTTTGCTCTCGAGAATATTGATGGTGTTTTTGGGGATCGCGTCGTCACTGGGCGCGCCGAGGCCAAAGGGAATCCGGAGTGGCAAAGCCCACGCAGGGGTTTACCGCCAACTTAGCACCGAGCGATTCGATACAAATCCGAAGCGTTTCTTAGTTGGAGTCAATCGGAATTTAATCCATTTGATCGAGTTACTTGAGGCTGTCAACGCTTCATTATCGAGCTTTTGTGATTCGACTCACTTGGACTCTGCACCCACGGGGGGTATATATATCGTATACCGTAGAGACAGTCTCTTCTGAGCTCTCCTAACCCATTCCCCCTCTCTTTCCTCGCTTAAACTACCTGCAAGCCGATGCGAACGTCGCTACAACCAGCCCGATATAAATTCACTAGCTCGCCATCCTCGTGAACCCTCCTCCTCTTTCGTCCCCCCCCCCGGACTCGCAATGTCTCACCAGCACAACTTTGCTCCTCGAGCTCGACAGCACCAACACCAGCAAGCTCAGGGCGCCACGGGCCTCGAGGGATCCTACAACGAGCCCAGCGCTAGCACCAGCACGATGGATCCCTTTGCGACCTCGAACGAGAACGACTACAACGACATGAATCCACTCCAGCATATTGGAATACACGGAAACCGAGATACTCTAGATTGGCGTAAGTCTTGTCTCTTTGGTGGCGCGATGCCGCCGACCCGTTCGAACGACGTACGCTAACAAAGCGCGCTAGTCATCAGCACGTACGGTGCGCCCTCGCAAACGAATCTGGGACACTCTGCATCCCCTTCGCATACTATTTCACCCTCGATCTACAGCTCGCGTACGTGTTTTTTGGACTCTGACTCGTCCCAGCTTGCCTCGTTCACCCTCCCCTCCCCCCCGTTTGGTATCGTCCCACTCGCTAACCTACAACCCTTGATTCCTTTTTTCGCGTTTATTCCTGCAGTAAACACGCCCGCCGAGCATATGGGAGCGTCACCGTATCTTCCGACACCGGTGGACTATCCTAGCCACCCGTTCCATCATGCAGCAGCCACCGCTGCTTCAGGCGGGAACCCCCCCTTGTTCGCACAGACATCATCCAGCCCACTGGTACACGCACATCCATCTCACTTTGTGTCTACCAGCACGATTCCTCAGTGGCATTCTCCCACCCAAGACTCAATCCTCTCCTCCTCAGCCCCGGCTTCCATGTCGCCTCTTCATTACACTTCACACAACCAACATCAACAGCATCAACAGCCGCAGCCCCGATTCGGTGGTGGCTCGGTGTCAGCCAACACTTCACCTTATGGTCAACTCTATCAACCTACACCCGCGCCAGGTCAAATTGGGCCGTCTCTATTCCAGAACAATCCCCTGACGCCGCCGCCTCATCCTCCCCTCACCAACGTGACCCACAGTCCTCTCATCACGTCGACCAGCGGTAACGGTGGTGGACCACCTCCTCGACCCTTAACCAACCCTGCTTCCCTCCAAATCCCCGGCGCCCATCACCTCTCCACAGAACCCGTAAGCGCATCAACGCCACTGGATGCAAGCTCACTGTCCTTGTTCTCCCTCTCCCAATCCTCAT